CGGGCCCGCCCCAGAGGAGGTGCCGCTGGGAAGCAGGAGCCGGGACGAAACTGACAGCGCCGCCGCTCCCGGATCTCAGCCCCAGCGCGGCGCCGAGCCAAGGTTCTCCGCCACCCACCGGGCCCCCGCCGAAGGAGACCTGGAGTCGGCAAAAGCCTGAAGCGCACGCGACAACAGGGTCCGCAAAAAGTCTGTGTAGCGAATGCTGGGGCCTCCGGAGCTACAGCCCCAGCAGCATTTGCAGCATTTCCCGTGGCCACGGCGCCCCCCTCTGGCCCCTGCCGGGCTCGCTCCACAGCGCCGTCAAGGACTGGGGCCGCCCAGGAGGCCCGCTTTGTGGAAGGCGGGAGGATTTCAAAGAGCGCCCAGGAGCTGGGGCCTAACTGGGGAGGGTGGTTTGTTCCTGACAGTGCGCTCCGGAGGTGGCAGGCCAAATTTATCAGGTCTTCCCCTGGCACATTTCCTTTAAAAATGTCCAATAGTTGTGCTATCATCAATGAATAATTGGTTAGCTCCTGATTTAGCATTCTTATTTAGGGTCTTAACAGTCTCCTCCCTACCTCCTCCCTCCCCCACCCCCCAACACACACACACCCACACACACACACACACACACACACACAAATACGTGTGCCATATATCCATATCCTTGGGATAGAAGACAAGGTCTATACCTGTTTCGGCAAATCATCAGCCGCCAGTTAAAGAAGGAAATTAAGTGACTTACTCTGTTCTTTAAATTGCACCACAGGCCCTGGCCGGTGTTACTCAGTGGTTACATGACTCAGTAGTTAGAGCGTGGGCTCCTGCACCAAAGAGTCACGTGTTCAATTCCTGGTCAAGGGCACAAACCTGGGTTGTGGATTCACTCCTGCCCCTGAGGGAGGCAACCAGTTGATCTCTCTCTCTCTCTCTCTCTCTCTCTCTCTCTCTCTCTCTGTCTCTTCCCCCCGCCCCCCCATTCCATGTGTCTCTCACATCCATGTCTCTCTCAAACAGCAATGGAAAAAAATATCCCCAGATGAGGATTAACAACTCAATTGCACCATGGAGAGGGGGAGCGCGAGGGGAATGCTTAGATTGCTTAAGAGCATTCAAACACAAAGAATCTACTTATTTAAAGAGTAAAAACAGATGTGTAAATTCTCAGAAAACTTCTCCACAATGCTGTAACTTTAGGAAAACCAGTGAAACTTGCAAGGAAGTTACAGGTTTTGGGCTTCCCATATTCAGGAATTGCTTGAGTTCTTATGAAAAAAATAGAAGCCCAGAGGCTACCCAATTTGCTAAGGAAGCAAAATGGCCTTAGCTCTTTCTAAAGGTTTGTAAGCTGATAAAAGGACATTTACAGTTAGGAAACTTTACACCCTTCATGTCAGCTGGAATCTATGTGATTCATTTCTGCTTTTGTGCTTGATATCATTAGAGTGTGTATCAGTGATATACTGAGATAAAATGTTGATAGGCTACTAATAGATATATATCCTTTAGTATTTCCAACAACTTACCAAACCTATAAACTCCTGTTGGAGAAGATAATCCTCTACCCCATCCTGGCCTAAAATAATAAACACGGGAAACTCATTAGAATCTTACCTGGAAAACTAAAATGCCTAAATTCTCAAATAGCATTTTACCATACAAGGATGACCTAAGATTATTATACACTAGTGGCCCAGTGCACGAACTTCGTGCACGGAGTGGGGGTGTCCCTCAGCCCAGCCTGCACCCTCTCCAATCTGGGACCCCTTGGGGGATGTCCGACTGCCGGTTTAGACCCAATTCCACTGCTGGCTCCTAACTGCTCACCTGCCTGCTTGATCACCCCTAACCACTCTGCCTGCCAGCCTGGTTGCCCCAAACTCCCACCCCCCCGCCAGCCTGCTCACCCCCAACTGCCGCCCCCTGCCAGCCTGATTGCCCCTAACCGCCTCTTCCTCGGCCCCGCCACCAGGGCTTTGTCCAGAAGGACATCCGGAAGGTCTCCTGGTCTAATTAGCATATTACGCTTTTATTAGTATAGATGGGGAAATAATTTAGACCATGGTTTAGGAAAGGCCTCTTTGAGGAAGTCCAGCTGAGACTTAAAGGAAGAATAGAACTTATGCA